TTCACCACTGTCTAAATCCAAGTCAAAATCACCAAGAACACTATCAAAGTAGTCAGATGATGAACACAAATAGAACATGACCCTTGAATAAGGTTTATCTATTTCTTCTTTGTACCTCTTAAGGGTGAAAGGCTCATTGAAACCAGGTAGGGTACCCACTTTATTTTTATCAGCGTACGGTACCTGATGAAATGCCTTCTTGTCACTTTGGATAACAGCTTTATGAAAACCGCTATGCTTCTCGACAGCTTTTCCTATAGGGTCTTCGGAAGTTATATTTGGTGTAACATTTATCGGAAGTGTATAACCCCTCTTAATCGAAAGGCGACCATGTTTCATAATCATTACACCAATGTTTATCTTGGTCTGACAATCTATGTTACCTTTACAATCGAGCTTCATTTTCTTTCCAGATTTCTTCCTAAAGTGCTTCGATCTGTCCTCTTCCTTTCGGGCTTGAAACTGGGCGAAGGTTAACAACCCAGACGCTCCACCGCCACTTCCAGTGGCACTAGCACTGCTGCGACTTTCATGTTTCTTTGAGCCTTCATCGACACTAGCTTCCCACTCAGTGACATTCTGCCTTACATGATCCCCGCATTTGTGACAATATTTGGCCTCAAGTGGACAGTTTTCCCCACAAGAGGAGGAGAACATTTTCAAAATCAAACGGAAACAATATGGCTTCCATGAAAACGTGGATCGGTCTAAACCTCCCCAGCCATGATGCATGTGTATTTCATTTTTACTTTATTTCTGTAGCAACTTTTTTTTTATCTGCAGCAACTTCTTTCTATTTGCAGCAACATTTCATTTTGCAGCAGCTTCTATTTTTACAGCAACCTTTATTTCTGCAGCAACTTTTAATTTTGCAAACTTTTTATATTTGCTGCAACATTTTTTCAATTTGCAGCATATTAAAAGCAATTGCAGCAAGTATCTTTATTATGGAGCAAGTTTTATTTGTTTGTAGAAATTATTTAAAATTGCAGCAACTTTTAAATTTACAGCAGAAATTATTAAAAA